CCATTAGATTTTATTCTCTTTTAATGTGGTTTTCACTTTTTTTTTCATCCATTCTATGCTGAATGCTGTACTAAGCTGTGGAAATTCACCATTTGCCACAGCAAATGCCTTGCAACAGCCTCACAACATCACAGGTGGCTTCAGAGATGCGTTCCTCTCATCTGTCCCACTCCTCCCATTCACCTACCCCCTTGTCTGGGACAAGGAATGGGGACATGCACAGGCCTCCAGAATCTCCCGTGGCTGGGAAATACAGGTTCTGCAGTACCAGTTCCCTGGTGGTGCCATGCAAATGGTGTTTCAGTGCCCCCTGCTCTCATGGCTGGGGTGGTTGCAGTATTTGGTGGAACTGATCTCTCACCTCCCCAGATGGTACTGCCTGAAAATCATGCGTGCTCAGTTCAAGAAACTTGCTTTTTGGTTTTTTCACTGGATTGATTTCTCGTGCGATTGTTGAATAGAAAACCAAGTGGATTTTTATCATCTCTAATTTGTATTTAGCAATTAATACCAATCCAATCTGTCCATGTGGTTGCAACACTGCTTGGAAAAGACCCAGTGCAGCCTTTTTCTGTACTTGCCCTGTAAATGGTGTCATTTTACATTAATACAGACTCTGTTTCTGTTGAAGCAGCTCCTGTGCTTTTTGTTGGTTCTTTGGATTAGACTGGCTGTTATGAATTTGACAACAGTTATCAAATCTCCCCTGCAGCGGACTGACTGTCAAGGATATGATGGTCAAATGTTTCACATATTGCAATCAAACCATTTGTGTTTGGTTTGAAGAATTCCAAAAGAAAGCTGTCAGCTAAGAAATGAAGTCGAAGTAGCCTGAAGCTTTTGGAGCATGTTGATCCAATTATGATGATCCACTCATATCCTTCAGCTTTTTTCAAAATCAATTTTCATTTTAGCTCAGGGACGGTTTTTTTTTGTTGGTAGTGCAGGGAAACATCTGTAAGGGTATTTCAGATGTGTTGTTTCAGGAAATTTCTTTTTTTTGTGCAAGAGAGCATTGAACTCTACACATATTTTGTAAGTGTATTTTGTCTCCAGTGCACAAATATACACTTGTAGAATATGTGGTTTGCCTGTACATATGCCTATCTTTATATACACACAAGCTGAAAATGTATTTTAAATTTATTTACGTGTGTTCGATCCAGTTGCTTGAACCTGAGGGGGGGAGAACCACAGCAAAACCCCAAAGGAGGGGAAATGTCCGGACGATAGGATGTAAAGGAACCTCAGCCATAGGTGTGATGCTCAGCTGGCATTTAACATCAGAATTGTTTGTCACCAGCAGGGCTGTATCCTGCAGGGACACTGTTGCATGATATTGACATGATGAGCGAGTGGTCAGCTCCTTCCTTTCTTTCCTTTAGCTCTCAGATAACGTGTGAAAGTGCCTGATATTTATTATTCCACTGCCAGAGTCTTGTTGATGTCTCTGTACCCAATGCACACTGAGACTGAAGCTGCAGTGTGAGGGATGTGATTGAGTACCAAAGCCACGCTTACCCACGTGGGAGCAAGCATACAGCATTTATGAGTTAGGACAGCAGATTTGATCCAAGACCCATGTGATGTTCTCATTCTAGATAATGCATTGTTGTCATGTTTTTCTGCACAAGATATAAGGCAAGTATTCAATGAATTTAATTAGATGTGGAGATATTCCACGCCTTTTATCCTGGTAATAAGAGCTAGAAATTTGGGTTCCTCACTCTGGATGCCATTGTTAGGAAGGCAAACTCAACAGTGTCCAAAAAAGAAACCCAAAGTCCCCCTCAGCTGTGAGGGGGGTGAGAAGCAAAGATCTGTCCTGTGGCTATCATTCCTATCGGCTCCAGTTCTGCTGAAGGTGCCATGGCTGGGTGTAATACCAGCACCTCCAGTCTGGCTCTTCTCCTGATTAGGAGAATCTTTGTATTCTTTGAACAATTATTTCCCAAACTATCCAGATACCAAGTAACCTGTGAGTCCAATTACCTTTCATAGATCCATAAATGCTGCTCAGAAACCACCTGTGCAATATCTTGATCAATTAACACAACAGTAAGAAATACATAAGTTCCCAAATTCTCCAGGAAGTGAAATTGACCTTTTCTCCATGATTCATACTCAGCATTCATTTAATGATTATTCTGCTGTGAGAATACAGTACAGTGAAATAAGGAAGGGGAGTCTGTCTGTAACAGTAAGAAACATTTCTAGGTTCAGCATTCATATGCTTAAAGAGAAAGTCTACCATCAGATAGGAGGAGAGGTAATGGCTTTCAGTTGTATGAGGGGAGGTACAGGTTGGATATTAGGAAAAATTCCTTCTCTGAAAGAGTGGTGAGGCACTGGAATGGGCTGCCTAGGGATGTGGGGGGGGTCATTGTCCCAAGACCCATGGAGATGTGGCACTGAGGGATGTGGGTTAGAGCAGTCACAGGTATGGGTTGATAACTAGATGATCTTGGTGGTCTTTCCAACCTCAATGTTCTATGATTCTGTGTTTTAGTAAAGGCTTGGTAGAGCCTGATTTGCTGAAGAACACAGGAAACTATTCAGTACAGTTTGGTTTATTAAGGATTTTAACTTCTTAAATGAGATGTTTATGGAGAAATTAATCTTCTTGATTTTATGCCAACATATCTACAGCTCAAGTGTACATACAACCTCTTTTTCAGCAATATATTTCGTTACATCAAGATATTAACTGGATTGCTTATATTTTCTGTGGCATGGTGTAAGCCAAGGCAGAACTGATGATACTGAAGTATCTTTGCACCTTGCAATGCAGAGTTTTAAGAATGATTTTGACAAATGTTGGCTTTCAGTAGGAACCAGATTTATTTTTATTTGGCTTGAAGTCCTGGCATTTCTTAAGGAAATGAAGAGTTTATTTGAAAAACTCCCAAAACTCAAGAACAAATTACAAACACTGACTTTGATGGAACGATGCTGGTTTGCACCAGTTGGAACTCTCACCTCTTTCTGTCCTACTTCATCCACAAATTTGCAATAAGATGGCACCAAATTCCCTTAGGATTTTATTAGGAAATGCATCAGTCCCATCAAGGCAGTTATCTGGAAAGGAACAGACTGAGATATCTAATACCTTGCCAAGTAGTTTTATGAACTGATGATGGAGAATTGCACTAAGATCAGAGATCACCTTTCAAACCTTTTGGCCTGAATGGGCTTTATCTTGGACTTAAAATATAGCTGAGAAATGTTGAAGTTAGAAAACAAAGCAGATTTTGGAGTCCGCTCACCACACAGGAGAGCTGCTGTTCAAATGCACTATTCAAAAAGCATTTAAGGTTTTATTTAACTGTAAATATTTATTATTCTTCAAAGGAAGGAAGTCCCAGAGATGGGCTTGGAATCCAGCTGGCAGGTTTTCAACGGAATGTTAAATTTTGTACACTCATCTCCAAGCTGTGCAGTTAGCAAGTGTCAGGAGCTGTTGAAGACAGGGTCTATAGCAAAGGCCAGGGGTAAAGACAAGTTTCTCAGAGATAAACACAATGGGCCATATTCTGCTCTCAAATGGATTTATCCTTTCTCCTCCCCCATCCCCAAACCAAAGGATTGATTTGATTATGAGTGTTTGTCTCTATTCAAAGCAAAGAATTTTGCTTCATTTTCAGACTCTGAACCTTTCATTATAAAATCTTTCCCTAACCTAGGTAATTTAAAAAAATATTTTATTTTTACTGTGTAATAGAAATGAAAGTCAGCATTTCATGCTCCTTGAGGAGTTACTGTACCTTTGTGTTTGCCAGTGTGATGAGAGCACTGCACAGATGTTTCAGACAACCCTAGTCCTGCATAAACACAGCAAAAAGCCTGTCCAATTTCTCCAGATACTGAATTGTACAAGGAGTAAAGCATGCAAAATTAATACAGCTCATGATATTGAAATAAGGAAAATGCCAATCAAAATCTCCAAGTGCTGATATGAAGTATCTTAGGAAGACAGGACTTCAACTAAAATCTGTGTCAGCACCTGACTCCCTTGCAGAATGGTGCTATTAGTTATTTTGTAGTATGACATCATGTGGAGTTCTAGCAATGGGCTGGGACACATCTGTGTAATTGCTGCACAAAAGTCAGCTTCAACATGAGATGAAACACGGCTGTAGATGGTATGTTGTGTTTTTCACAGTGACCTGGTACTCATATACTCAGTTGGAGAAGAATGACAGAGTTCTGGTCATATCACACTGAATCAGAATAGGTGGCTCAAGGGAGAGACGGATCTGATGGAGCTTGTCCAGAGGAATGATCCCAGGGATTGAACACCCTCTGATGAGGACAGGATGAGAGAGCTGGGCTGTGCAATGTGTGGGAGGGAAGGCTTCAGGAGACCTGAGAACAGCCTGTCGGTATCTAAAGGGAGGCTATGAGAAAGAAGGGAACAGACTTCAGCAGGATCCATGGTGACAGGACAAGGGGCAATGGTTTCAAACTAAAAGAGGGGAGATTTACACTGGATGTAAGGAAGTTTTTTACAGTCAGGGTGGTGATGCACTGGCACAGGTTGCCCAGAGGTGGTGGTGCCCCATTCCTGGAGACACTCAAGGTCAGGCTGGATGGGGCTCTGAGCACCTCATGGAGCTGTAGGTGTCCCTGCTTGTTGCGGGGGGGGGGGGGTTGGATGTGGTGATCTTTAAGGGTCCTTTCCAGGTCAAACAATTCTATGTTTATTTGAAAAGACCTACAGGAGGGCAAGGAGGGAGAGAAAGAGAGGCAGAACACACAAGATTGGGGTGATCCTACTCTTATCCATACCACCTAAAACTCAGTCACGGAGTGCATGCTATTGCAATGTTGCTGTCTGTTTTAACAGAGCAAAAAGATCTCTGTATGGGAACTATTGATCAGGGCCTGAACTTCTGATTGACCGCCTGAGGCAAACAATGAGTCAGCCGTGGGAGCACAGGTGAAGGCAATTCACCTGTCCTACCAGGAAGGGGTGGAGCCTGGCTGCACCTCTCCTAGATCCCATTTAAGTGCTGACTGCCACTGAGGATGGCTCTCTTTCTGGAGATTGCTCCTCATGGATTTTTTTGCAAGCCTACCGTACTGGTAAGCATTTCCATTTATTCTGATTATCTTTCCGCTGTGATAATCTTACTTAAACCTAACCTCTGTGTGTTTATTGATTGTACAATCTCTAATACCACCTGTACCCTTGACCCTCTCTGCTTCCTGCTTTAAGCAGAAAGTGCATATCAAATTCATGCATAAATATTGTGAAATTTCTAGAGTTGTCTTTAGCTGCTTAAATTTCAAATGTGAGTAAACCAAACAATTTTTATTTTTTCATTTTTTTTATTTTTTTATTTTTTACCATGAGCTGCTGCTCAGGGGCAAATACATAAAGATGATGCGTTTCAAAATTGAAGCTTCTGACTCTAAGTTTAGCAGAGTCATTAGTCATGTCATACATGCCAAGTCTGGTGGAATTTGGCATAGCTGTTTAAATTTTAACAAGGGGTAAATTAAATGAACCTTTACCTAAGTTATACTGCTGAGGACAGAATGCCTACGGTTATGATACAGATGCTAATTTATCAAGAACTGTTGAATTCTCAGCTTCATATTAAAATACAAGTGTCAGGCAGGACCAATCCCTACAAATCTGCCAAGAAAGATACAATTTGGATCAAACAATAACATTTTTAGTTGGGCTGTATAGAAACAGTTTGGCTCTGATGTATTTTCCTGGGTGAATTATAAAAGCAGGATTTGGAGATTCTTCCATCTCGGGAATTAAATGCTCAGAACTATTGGCTGTCATCTTGAAAAATGTTAGATCTGCATCTCTCTGCAATTGTCTTAAGTTCCTTGGAATTCAGCCCAGCTATTAGCAGGGGGTAAATAAGACAAAAATTGACAACAATGTGCATTATAGGGTGAAGCGTTGAAGGATGAGTTTTAGATATGAACAGTTAATGGATTTCTTAGAAGTGCGGTATTTGATTTGAAGCTTACTACGTTTTTGAAGAAGGTTCACTTCAGTTGCTCTCTTAAAAATTCAAAAATATATCTTCTGTTCCTTTTGAAGCATTGCAAAAATGCAGGATGGTGTTTATTACAAACAGTTTAAATATGCAACACTGTAAGTTTGAAGTCAGCTGGATTGAGTTCAGCTGTTGGTGTAAATCACTGCAGTAAAATGGAAACTGCTCCAAGAAATAAGGGTTAAGTGGCTATTATTTCCAAGTGCATTCACATTGCTTCCAAACTCCTCATGTTGTTTTCACAGTGTATGGTGCCAGTCTGACTCAGGGCTGTACTGTCAAGCTGGGAGTGATTCTGCCATTTCATAGAAACATGTTCTACTTGATAACTTCTGCTGATTTTGTGTTTGTATTGTAAGAATCCTTATTCTCTTGCATGGGCTGGGCTTTCCATCCTACATCACCTTGACTGGGAGTGAAAATTCCCATTAAATAAGTGATAATTTTACCACGTTGCTGTTCACTGTGTGTAGTGCAGTTAATACGATGCAAATATGTAAAAAAAAAATCTCATTTCAACAGGTTCAGTCTGCTCTGTGTGATGAGAATGAATACCCCCAAAACCTGACACAAGCCCCAAGCAGTGTGAACAAACCCAAATACCTGTTAAATCTTAGTTCAGTAAGGTGTTTGTGCCTGAGGTTATTTTAACATGTATGCTGTCCTATCACTGTCAATGGCAATACTATGCCAAGGTGACCATTGGCAAGCAAAGCTAAGCCTTGATTATCTCTATTTTACTGTTGAAAAGAATGAGTGATTCTTCTGCCCCTCTCTGTACTTCCTTTCTTAGGAAAATATTTCCAGCAGTATTTTTCTTTAGTTTCTGTCATGGTTCTGGAGAACAGTGAGTTACCATGTCCTATCCCAACTGGTGTCAACAAAAAATTTCATTTAAGATAGATTTCTACTCGGGGCTTAACTAAATCTGTGGACTAACCCTCAGCCTTTGAAATTGAACTCTACTCGGTGGAGAAACATCACTTCTGGCCCTGTTTTGCTTTTGATACAATGCTGCTGTGTGCCATGAACCACATTTTGTATCTAGAAGTTTTTTTTTTCCACATATGCCCTCAACACCACCTATGCACAACTAGAGGTCATAATGTGCAACAGAAAAAACTTCCAAATAATTAGTCATAGCACAGCTTTAGTAAGAAACAGGAGCACAAGCCTGAGAATAAGCATCTGAGGTGTTCCATTTGGTGAGACCATACAACTAATGAGTAACTCAGTGTATTTACCAAGATACTACCCACTTGGGACTAATGACTTGAAGAAATGTAAAACAGTAGCCTATACTTAGTAGCTACAATATCATTAGGTCTCCAGGTTAAGGAAAATACCATTAAATGGAAATTATTCTGAGCGTTATGGAATCATTAAGGTTGGAAAAGACTGCTGAGATGATCTAGTCCAATTATCAACCCACAAAACTGCATCCCTCATCTCCACAGCGTTCCACTGAGTTTCTGTAGAGCACAGAAAGCAACAGCTCAGGTGCAGTGTTCCAGCATTGGCAGGATTCCTGTGAACGAGGAGTTTATAACCTCCCATTGATCATTCCTTTTTGCAACACGTGTATAAAAGAGCAATCTGAAGTTCCAGGAATGTCATGTCGGGATGATGAGTCCATCAATTTTCTTTGGTTGTAGGTTTCCCTTCAGTGGCTGGAATGTAAATTACGAGAAGCTGAAGGAGAAAGCTGCAAATTATTGGGCACTGTCAACTTCAATATCCTCAGTCTGATGGATCTGTGATTTGACAACAATCTGCTTGTCAGTCACTCTTGCAAAATATTAACACATCTGATTATCAGATGTGTTAGCCAACTGTTCACTCTAACAGTGGGTGCAGTCATAAGTCCAGGGATGCCGTGGCTCACTTAGGCTGCTCATGCTCATGTTGCAGAGCATCTGCTAAAACTCAGGAGCTGCTCAGCTGTTCTTTGCTGGCCTGTGACAGCTGAGTTGTTTAGAGGTTTGGTGCTTTCTACGAAATCCTTGCTGAGGGATTCCTGTCTGTTTCTATGAGAAAAGCAGAAAGAATTGTTGCCCAACTGGAAGGAGATGGGACCATATTGAAGAGGCCACCAGAGATTGGTGGCATCCCTTGGCAGTGGGAATGGGCTCAACGTTGGTAAGAAATCTGCAGTGCAGTAAGGGAGGGTTGCCTGTTCTCCCTTCCAAACAACAAAAAACAGAATTTTGGGAATATTTTTTGTTAATGCTAGTGGAGAACACCTCTAGCATTACAGCATAAAATGAAAGAGTTATGTGATGACAGCCTCCAGCACCTCTGCTTGTGGAGCTGCAGTAGCGAGGTGGGTGGAAATACCTACTAACAGGAGCGCCTGCCCTTAATAAGCACTGTTAGTTTAATTGCCACCATTACAGACGTTAGCAGCAGCAGGAAGAAGAAAGGGATCGCCTGTCAAGTGGAGTGGGAGCACCAGGACAGTCAGTGATGCAGACTGCTGCACTCTGCTGAATGCATAATGAAACTGCCAACCAGCACAAACAAAAAATTATGAACTTAAGCTATAAGGCCTTGTCAGAAATTCTTGCAGCTTTTTTGTGTGTGACTGTATAAAAGTCCTCATAAAAAAAAAAAAAAACAAAAAACATGTCTGCAGAACTGGCACCAGCTGCTGGCTTAGAAAGCTCCAAGATACCTTCCACCAATTGGTCTTGCTGAACCTTTATATATGAGGTATTGATCAATTTATTACATTCAATTGCTTGTATGGATTTTTTTTTTAACAGTTGTAGCTTTAAGTCTACTGGTCTGCCTTAAAAAATGATGATGGGTTTGTCTGTCTCACGCTATAAGTTGGAATGGGCTGCTCTAGATACAAATGTTGTGCTGAATGTTAAGAACAGTCATCTGGTGAAAAAGAAATAAAAGTATGAGTGCTAACCAAATGTAAATATATCTGCCATACATAACATGCTAGTAAATGCTGACATTCAGAGGCAGGGAATGTGGTACAGGAGGAGGACACTGGTTTTTGCAATTACAGTCACAATCCATTCTCAAAAGATTAAAGTTTTACACAGTGGTTGTTCTCAGGAAATTTGCTGAATCCTAATATTAAAGATGAAAGCATAATAAAGGGTGATTTTTTTTTAATTTTTTTTTTTTTAAGAATTGGCTGATAGATTTGATTTGCCAGTTTTCACTGAAGCAAAACTTTCTACTGACTTCAATTATCAGTAAATTGTGTTGACCTCAATAAGGATTTTTGCAGAACTGGGCCCGTAGCATGAATAGGCTGTTCTGTACAGAAAAGGCACTGCATGAAAATGGCATCTTCTTACTCATCAGTTCTGCCTCCTGGGGGCATACTGAGATGCAGCATCTGACTTTAATGACAAAAATGAGGTTATGCTGTTCTTTCCTCCTGCAAAAGCTTTTCATAACCAGAGAGAGAATTTGTGCAAAGCAACAAGATGAGAAGCTGGGGTTGCCTCATGCAAAAGACTGGTGAGGTGCTGGCATGGGCTGCCATGGAGGTAGTTAAGAATCATGGAGATGTGGCACTAAGGGATGTAGTGAAGTGGGCAGTATTGGTGGTAGTTGGATGGTTGGACTAGATGATCTTAGAGGTCTTTTCCTACCTTTGTGACTCTGTGATTCTATGATTCTATGCTGCTTCTTGGTGACTGTGCCCAGTAACAGTCAACACAACTGCTTGCTTTCAGGTGCCAGGTTGCCTCTGCATGGTAACACTTAGAAAAGAAATATTTTGGTTTATAAGACAAGAAAATATGATATTAAGACACTGAGAGAGGAAAACCCAAGAATTCCAACCCTGTGATAGCTTGGAGGCCCTCCTTTGATAGTTCAGCTTTTCTGTGATTTGTGTTACCCCATATTGTCCTGCCCATAGGACAAGGGGAAATGGTTTTAAAGTAAAGGAGTGGAGGTTTAGGTTAGATGTCAGGGGGAACAGAGAGAGCACCGAGGCCCTGACTCAGGCTGACCAGAGAGGTGATGAGTACCTCATCCCTTATGCCATTCCAAGACCTGGTTAGATGGGGTTCTGAACAGCCTGATCTG